AAGAATCCATGTACACAGCGACATGTTTTAACTTAAAAAAAATCTACGAATTGCACAATGTAGGCAACGAACGAATCTACAAACTATGCAGACCTCGCTTTAATAAATTAACATAACAACATAAATTTCAAAGAATACCACGTACACAGCATCCTGTTTTAAACTTTAAAAAAATTCTACGGGAATTGCACAATTTAGGCAAGGAAGGAATCTCGATCTACGCACTCCTCGCTTTAATAAAATAACATAACAACAATAAATTTCAAATAATACCATGTACACAGCGTTCTGTTTCAACTTTAAAAAACCTCTACGAATTGTACAGTCTAGACACTAAACAAACAAAAAAAAAATAAATTTCAAACAATTCAAAAAAAAAAACAACAATAACGACAGAAATTCATACTAAGAACCAATGAACATAACATTCTACAAAATAAGAACAAGGATAAAATAAAATGCACTTACCATGAATTAATGCTTTTTCGAGCAGCAGAAATACCAATTTCATACCGCCACGTAATCACTATCGTATTTACATGACAGTTAGACACTACTCCAGAAAATTCATACTATGGTTCACAAACAAAAAAAATCACAAATCCCTACTTCTGTCATGCACTAGCCATTAAAAATAATCTCCCAGACCTTCTTTCCACACCTCTAAATACCCACTACCCCTCAAGAGGATAGCCACAATCATATTTCCTTTTGCCAAACTTCAATTCAACGGTTGATCTTTACATTATGGTAACTTGGCGATTTTTTGGCGAAAATTTGGCGACCAACTCTCCAACAGCAACCCTCTATTTTTTTTCCCCGCCACCATTTTGTCTTCACGAAGTAAAGACAATTTTCTTTTCTTTTTATCTCCTGAACACTTCTTCCAACAATCTACTAGCCGAATTACACTTATGCTAGAAATTTTATCAAACAAAACTGCTTAATCATGACAAATATTCACTGCAAAATTCGGAAAAAGTGCACAATACCATACACCTTACGCGTTTTTCAAAATAACACATACACATAAACCATGTACACGCCGACTTATTTTTACTTAAAAAACATCCCAGAATTGCACAAAAATGGCATTGCGCACACTCTTCACTATATCCATGTACACTGCTTTTTTTCTCATAAATTCGAAAAATTTCACGAAAATACATGACAATTTTCTCAATCTTTAAACCCGGTAAAAAGAACATATATGAAATTACCTGATCGCGAAAAAGTATTTACCCTTTACAAATATGAACATTTCCACATATAAAATAAATAAAATATCCAAAAACTTTTACCTCTAAATCATCTATTACATTATACACGTCACCAACGAATTCATACATGAAGCATTACAATACTTAGTATCAAATATTTAAATTATTTCCATGCACGTTTATTTCAACTTAAACGTAAACCAAATTCCTACAAGCATAAAATTCACAAAAAACTATCATTTCATTAAAATATCACTAAACCATGTACACGTCGACTTATTTTTACTTAAAAAAACATCCCAGAATTGCACAAAAATGGCATTGCGCACACTCTTCACTATATCCATGTACACTGCTTTTTTCTCATAAATTCGAAAAATTTCACGAAAATACATGACAATTTTCTCAATCTTTAAACCCGGTAAAAAGAACATATATGAAATTACCTGATCGCGAAAAAAGTATTTACCCTTTACAAATATGAACATTTCCACATATAAAATAAATAAAATATCCAAAAACTTTTACCTCTAAATCATCTATTACATTATACACGTCACCAACGAATTCATACATGAAGCATTACAAATATTTAGTATCAAATATTTAAATTATTTCCATGCACGTTTATTCAACTTAAAAGTATACCAAATTCCTACAAGCATAAAATTCACAAAATAACTATCATTTCATTTAAAATATCACTAAACCATGTACACGTCGACTTATTTTTACTTAAAAAAACATCCCAGAATTGCACAAAAATGGCATTGCGCACACTCTTCACTATATCCATGTACACTGCTTTTTTCTCATAAATTCAAAAAATTTCACGAAAATACATGACAATTTTCTCAATCTTTAAACCCGGTAAAAAGAACATATATGAAATTACATGATCGCGAAAAAGTATTTACCCTTTACAAATATCAACATTTCCACATATAAAATAAATAGAATATCCAAAAACTTTACCTCTAAATCATCTATTACATTATACACGTCACCAACGAATTCATACCCTCAAAGCATTACAAATACTTAATTATCAAATATTTAAATTATTTCCATGCACGTTTATTTCAACTTAAAACGTATACCAAATTCCTACAAACATAAAATTCACAAAATAACTATCATTTCATTAAAATATAATTAAATTCAAAAACACTACTTAAAATATAAATGAGCACATACATTAAATTAATAAAAATTACCTTACAATCCTAATTACTTTAAACTAAATCATTGCTAATAACAATTTTCCCAATAATACCAAATTCCTTTCCACCTTACATTTACAACAATGCATAAAAATAATATCCTAAAATAATTAAAAAAACTAACTTACCTAATCTTCTTCAGAATCTTGATTACGTGGCGGATACACTTTTCTTACTTCTGTTTCAGAATCTTTAAAATCATACTTATCTTTCAAAGCAAGATACCAGGTAAAATAAATAACATAATAAAACATCTTTATTTCTCTCTCGCACAACCTTAAAAAACATTTATTACTATCCTTTTCAATACCACTAAATACCCATTTCGAATTCACTTTAGTTACGGCCATGGGATCCAAAAATTCACAAACACTATTTCACACAACACAGAATAAAGCCAAATACAAAAATTGCCAGATTTTTTCCCGATTAAAGAACAGTAGTTCGTCCATTAATATCACATAACATATCCCATGATCTCTCTCATTTCCCTCACACAAAAATAATGCGTAATCAGAACTGAATACTACTCACATTCTTAACAAAGTCTAACTAACCTAATCTTCTTTCGAATCTTCCTTACATGGTGGATACACTTTTATTATGGATTCAATAAAATTACTGAACGATTTTTTTTTTCCGAATTTGATAGAATTTGATAAAAAAAAAAAAAATTCTCTTTATCACATCTACAATTCACTTTAGACAGCGCCATACAATCCCAAAATTATTCAACCCTACTTCACACAACACACAATGAAGCTTAATACAAAATAATATACATCCACAGATACTTGTCCAAATTCCCCCCTTTTCCGATTAAAGAACCGTAATTCGTCCATTAATATCACATGACATATCCCATGATCTCTCATTTCCCCCACACAAAATAATGCGTAATCGGAAGCTGAGTACTGCTCACATTATTACCAAAGTCCCAGGTAGTAACCTTTATCGCCTCCAAAATGTCGCCAAACTACCAGTTACCATATTGTAAAGATCAACCAATTCAACAACTACCATTTTATCTTTCCCTCCCATCTTCTCAGACACAGAGGCGAACCAACGAGCTCCAGCGAAAGATTTTTCAACGTCAACAGGGTTGCCATAGAACACGCAATCGCGCCAAAAACCAGCGCAGAACACATATCGCCACATTTGGTGAAATTAGGGCGTATATTAGAGTTGTACCAAAATTTTTGCAGACATGGAAGTTGATTTTAATTTTCTTCACGAGTTTGATTTTTAAATGTCTAGGTAACAATTTTTTGTTAAACTTTAATTTAAAAGATTATGTAAATTTTGATCTTCTTTTGATTTTGAATTTAACTTCTTAATATTAAAGAATGTATCACTTTTGTTTTTACTTTTGTGTTTGAAGTTGAGTATCCGGGAATGATTCTTCTAAAGTGAGGATCCCGTTAAGTTGCGTTCTTAATGAACTTAATTTAAAAGATTATCTAACTATATTTTGTTTATGAAAGCTCTTTTGGATAAAATGGACTAATTTCTTTCTATTGATTTAGACTGTACGTGACTTGTGATCTGGCTCCGCAGAATATTCATTGGGTCCTTACTTGGAAGAATAACGAAACGCTCTCGCTTTATTTAGTTGTTGTTAATTGATAGCAGATTGGTTTGTTCCCCTTGACAAGTCAATTAATCTGCAGTCACTGACAATAACTACTTTTTCAGTACTTAAAATGTTTACTTTTGATTTTGGGGTTTAATCCTAGTATCCGGTGCACACGGGATTTGGCTACTTTATGATGAGCAGTAAAAACGGGACATATATGATGAGTAGTTAACTGTTCATTCAAAGAAAATATATAGTTAAACATAGTATATACTATGTATACAGTATATATATGTGTGTGTATACATATACTATGTGTATATATTATATATATAGACGTTCTTTGGATCATGGTGTTGGCGATAATTTTCAAAGTCGCGCCAAGGCTGCACCGTATACTAGGATTTTACCGATTTTGGTATTTTTGCAATTCAGAATTTTTCTTTTTTATGGTTTTTACTGCAATAGAAATCTAGAAATACTGATTTAAAATACTGTATAAAAAATTTATTTATTATAATAATTTATGGATTTAATTAAATTTCTGGTCCTTGGAGATGGTATGAAAAAGTTCTCTATTGATAAATTATATGTTTATTATTTTGCAGCTTTAGCGCAAGTTATGGGCTTATTCATTTACTTTTAATTACTTTATTTAGAATTTTCATTCTTTTGAAAATTTACCTGCTACTTACTAGAAGCAATTGACACAGTAATGGGTATGAGTTCAGATCTCAGTAAAGGTGGAATTTTCCCGAATATCTTATCTATTAAGTCTTTTTCAGAAAATATACAAGAATTAGACCGTAAAAAGTATGGCAAAAAATGAAACGGACAAAAAGTTAATCATAATTAGCAGAGAGTTTTAAATTTCAATGGTTTGAAATATTATGCATCTTAAGAAAAATTAACGATGATATCACAAGCAGAATATTACCATCCTGGTTTTTATTTTCATAATGCGCACAACAGTAAAAATACCTGGGATTAAAATCTTGAAATAAACTCTGTAAATTCATACTTCAATCAAAGAGTAATAGCTTGCTGGCATTCAAATTACTTTCGCTCATTACAACTGCATCAATATCATTCTCAATTACAGCAGACACTTCGACAACATAAGAGAAACACATTAGAAAAATTTCTAGTTTTGCCTCCACTAAGTCTTTCTGTACGCGCACAAAATAGAAAGGCAGACAAAGTAGTAGTATGTTCGATTTGGGATAGGACGTCAGTCTAGGTACCCAGGTATATCGAGCACCGTTCCACAAGAACTTGGCGATAATCCAAGGGGCACCCTAAAATACAGACTAACCCCTATCACGCCATATTTACTTCCGTTTGCATAAAAAGTGTCACCTACATTTCTAAAGAAGCTAAACTGTAGCCATCAAAGCTGTTCTCCGAACATTACGCAAGCTGTCTTTTTTCCTCTTTCCCAACAGGAAAAAGTCGATTTAATTATCTGGCAACACTAATGTGAAGTTGTAGAGCAGTAGAAGTTTTGCTTTCAAATTTTGGAATGTTCAGAAATTTGGGAATTCTTCAAATGTTGTTGAGGTTTGGTCGGCGATGCAAAGATCATCGCGGTCGCAAAGTATTCAGTATGATTCAAGATAATAAAGAAAAGTTTTATTACATCGGTGCGAGCATTGGCACCGGAATTACACTGATGATTTTCAGTGACAAACTCCAAAAGTTTGGTACGAAACGCGACATTGGCTTGGTCCGAGCGAATCCACACTCAAAACCCGTGAGTTAACAATATATTTATATATATATTTAAAATATTTCATGTTCTCTGATACCATTCAGAAATATTCTGTAGATGCGTCATATATAATCAAAAATACAAAAATTTCTATGTAATTCTTTTTTAAACTATATTTGATTAGTATTAGTGGTTAGTTGTGCATAGGAAGTAATTCGTACTAGTTTGTCATAAAGTATCGTCATTCTTCGACACTTAATAGTCAATTAACCTTTACAAGCAGAGAATTATGAATTGAATAATTGATACAAAAAATGAATAAGTTTCAATGACATGTAATGATACGGAGCTAAAAAAATTAATACATGGAAAAATTATGTTTCCCTCATCGGCAAAGTTTTATTTCATTATATTTTATCTTCAGCTGAAGTCTAGTCCAAGTGACTGCAGAGCTTCTCAATCTCGTAATTTTGTTACGTTAAACATTTCTTAAAATTTATTTCAGTTTTTTGCTAATCTTTGGAATATAGTAACAGGTAGTTTGGCGACATTTTGGTAAGGCAATAAAAGGTTACTAGCTAGGACTTTAGTAGTGGAGATGGATAAAGTCAAGAGTGTGCGCAATGCCATTTTTGTGCAATTCTGGGATGTTTTTTTAAGTGAAAATAGGTCGATGTGTACATGGATGATACCGTGTATGTGCAGTTCTTAAAAATGCGGCAAGCGGTGGGCGATTCTGCACTTTCTCCCAATTTCGCACCTAATCTTCGTCATGATTAAGCACCTTTGTTCCATAAAAGTTCTAGCATAAGCGTAATTCGGCTAGCAGATTGTTGGGAAAAAATATTGAGTAAAAAAAAAAAAATGCCTTTACTTCGTGAAAACAAAATGGCGTTCAAACAGAAACTAGCAGGTTGCTGTAGCAGGGTTGGTCGAAAAAATCGCCAAGTTACCATAATCCAAAGATCAATCCAGTTTTTTTCTGATTAGTCAGAAAATTAGTTTGGTTTTCTAATACTAGATGGGTGAAACTGTTTAATTGCTGCATTATAAAGTCATCGTTATCAGTCTCATTAACACTGAGTTTCTAGTAATTAATCATTTATTATGTTGATTCTCAGTTGTATGCAGATGGTGAAATTTGTTAATGTATTTATCATTTTCAGCAACAGTTAGCCAGAAGTATTAGTGAAATTATTGTGGGTTAAAATGTACTGTTATGTGATTTCATTATTATCTATGTATTATTATTGTGGCTTAAAATGTATTGTATGCTGTTATGTGAACTGATACAGTACAAAGTCCGTAATCCGGACTCATTGGGATTTCGGCGATTCCGGATGAGGGGTTTTTCCGGATTATAGATCATCAATTTAAATCTGGTAAGATGGCATGCAGAAATTATACAATTAAAAATGTGAAACCGTAATTTATGAAATAAAGAGCAATTATGATCTAAAAGGTATCAAAAAAAGGCTTAATATTTGTTTGTTTACTTTATTAAACATTTCTTTCAATGTAAGTTGTTTAAATTGCTTCGTTTTGTGTGCTAAACTCCCATGTGTAAACATTAAACGCGCATGCGTAAGGCATACAAAAAGAAAAAAGTTTGTGGCTTTGAGGTCCGGATTCTAGATCATTTTGGATAATGGACATCTGGATTACGAACTTTGTACTGTACTAAAGTTTTGAGAATTATTAGGTTATTTATAATTTTTTTTATCTGATTTATAATTATATCTGTTAATATTATCTTGTATTATTCTAAATAAAAGTTTCATGAATTGTGAACATCATCGAAAATGCCTGTTTGAATTGGATTATTCAATTATGGCTAAGCAGATTTGAACTTAGTATCATTCATGTTTTAATCAAGAGTCCTTCAGGAGATGAAATATAGAAATCTCGCATTTGTTTTGATTAAAATGAGTTACTATAGGTTGCAAATTGGCGAATTCTTTTGAAAAGATTGCCAACTATCAATATTTATTGTAAGTCAGCAACATAATCGCCATAAAAAAATGAGCAATTTAAAATGAAAATTTTATTACTTGAATAAAAATTTATCGTGTTCATTATTACACATATTATATGATACATTGCCGTTGCTCTCCATATGTGCACAGCAATCTGTTTTTGCTTAAAAAAAAAAGAGAGAATTGAAGAAATTTGGGTAAAAATATATTTACAGGTACCCTGTGGCATAAATTGTCAGTTTTTGGTAATACATGGATACAGAGTTTGTGCAATTCTTTGACTTGTTATTTTGGCTTAGTGTAGCGGCGATCAAAAATTGCCGTTACACTATGCCAAGATACCATTTACTAAAACCCATTTACTAAATACAAGAATTGCACAGGCTCAGTATCCATGTACACATCGACCTATTTTCACTTAAACTAAAATCGGAAAATTGCACAAACTTTGCATTGCGCACTCCCTGAACTTTGTCCATGTACACATCGATCTATTTTCACTTAAAAAGCCAAAGGAGCAGCCAATAAAAAATATATAATCTCAGTAAACTACATTTTAAATCAAACAGTCAAATAACATAAAAAAGGAAATTCATCTTAGCACTACACAAAGAAAATATCCACTTACTTTGTTTAAAAATTTCCCTGTCTTCAGTCTTAACAGCATCCAAAAACTTCCTAGAATTATCTGAACTAGAATCTGTATAGTGGCATCGCTACATAAATTCACAAAGAGTCAAAAATATCTTTCATACAGCCGGGTATTGGACCATACACATTTCCTTCCAACGAACAGAAACTTATAATGGCTGCTAAGGAAACCTTAATTTATACACCAGTCAATTAATGCTCTTTTCCTCTTTCATTCCAAATTGTACAGAAACTTCAAATTAATCTTTCCACATTCAGCCATTTTACCATCTAAATCACAAAACAGCAACGTACTTCTTAACCAGCACACACAACAAGCCCTTTCAAATCTTTTCTTATCGTTCAAATTGACTGCAATCACGCAACCAATTATGTCATAATAGGGTTTCCGTAACACTCAACTACTCAGATTACCATAAATGAAATAACAACTTGGCGATAAATGAAACAACAACTTCGTAATAATACAAGGGAAGGGGCACCTAATTTTGGTAATACCTAGTCTAACCTAAATTTGGTATCGTACACAGTCATGGCATGGTGCATATTAAAAGTCATATAGGTACTAACGGAAAATCCCGTTGACCACAAGAGACGGCACCAATTGCACCAAACCAAAAAAACCTATTTACTAAATACAAGAAAAAAAGGTAAAAGTATAGTTTAGGGTACCCCTTGGCGATTTTTGGCGGTACATGGATACCGATTTTGTGCAATTGTTCGTCTTGTTATTTTGGCTTGCGAAGCGGTGATTTTTGCACCAAAAATCGCCGCTCTACTCTAACAGAGAAATATTTTCCTTTTATTGGAAATCATAAAAAGAAAGGAATCAAATCGCAACTTTCTGATATGATGCACACCAATGTCATGGAAGTCATATAGGTTCTATTTTCACCATTTAAGAATATGCAGTTTTAAAATTAACACATCAATTAAATCAATTAAAAAACAGACAACGGTACTTCAATGTTAAAGTGGCCACTGAAGGTATTTCCTTGCTAAAGTCATGTCAATTAAAATTAATTTTGCAAAAACTAGAAAAAACTATGGTAACCTTAAAAAAATAAAAAAAAACATAGTTATGTGATTTATAAAATGTGTGCAATGTGCATAATTTGTGTAGTGACAACACTGTACACTCTGTTAGATTTGTGTAATTCTGTGATTTTTTTTTAAGCCAAATTAGGTTGCTATGTTCATAAGGAGAACCAAGTACCATTTTATCTCATCTTACATATTGCCATCACATCAAAAGAAAACAATTAAAAATGCAGTTTAAAGTACAAATTGGAATCATTAAATAAAGATTATATGATTACATTAAATATTATACTGGCTATATTATATGATGCATTATTGTTGTTTTTTGTACTCAGTTATTTGTTTTCACTTAAACTGGAAATCAGCATAGTTGTGGCATTGTATGCATTGAACATTATATTATATTTTATGATATATTACCTTTTTGTGATACAAGTTTACTGTTATTATTAGTATCGCATGTTTGCCAATGCTAGCAGGTAGTCTTCTGATTTTGGCAACCGATCAAGGTACCCAGACAATGCATAACCTCAAAAAAATATCCACAATCCCATAAACTCCAGTCATCAAAAAAATATGATTGCCTAAAAATTATTACATAGCAGGGAAAAAAGTTAAGATTAAAATCAGTAGCTAACAACAAAATCACCAAATCTGGCATGCACTCCATCTTCTAAAGTGCTGTTTGCGATTGGTACATAAGGACACTTTAGGTCTGAGGATAAATAACATGCAAATTTAGTGCCTTGTTCATTGCCTTCCCTTGTGGGAAGAGGGAACTACAGTTTAGATATACAGTACAAAGTCCATTATCTGGACGCCCATTATCCAAAATGATCTATAATCCGGACCTCAAAGCCACAAACTTATGTATGCACGTAATGCATTTATGTCTGCGCGCTTCCGGTAGTGAAGAAAGTGACAGAGAAGTTATTGAAAATGAAAAAATTTCGATTGACAAGTTAATTGGTATTCTCGACACAGCAATTACAGGACTTGAACAGTAGAACTTTGTAACTGAACAAGAAATTATGTCTGTTTATAGAATTAAAGAGAAAATATTAGCACAAAAAAATGAAGCAACTTAAATGACTTATATTGAAAGAGATGTTTAATAAAGTAAATAAATAAATATTAACCTTTTTTTTTTTTTTTTTTTTTTTTTTTTGTAAATTTTGATACTCTTTAGATCATAATTGCTCTTTATTTCATAAATTACAGTTTGATATTTTAATTGTATAATTTCTGCATGCCATCGTACCAGATATAAACTGATGATATATTATCCGTAAAAACCCCTGATTCAGAATCGCCAAAGTCCCGACGAGTCCGGATTACAGACTTTGTACTGTAGTAGCCACTCAGCCTTTTGTG